CGTCCCCCATAATTCTTTTTTTTTTTTTGAGATAGAATCTCACTCTGTTACCCAAGCTGGAGTGTAGCCTTAAACTCAGCTCAAGCGGTCCTCCTGCCTCAGCCTCCCAAGTAGCTAGGTCTCCTGGAGTGAGCTACTGCACCTGGCCCATAACCACTACTATTATTTTTGTTTACATTCATCCTTTTTTTTTTTTTTTTACCCACACATACATGTATTTTTACAAAACAAAGGGATCACACTGGTTTGTGACCTGTTGTTTTGCCACTTGGCACAAATGCTGCCCCACTTATTTAGAAATGATGTGCCAGTGTATCCTTCTAATGGCAGATACGAGTGTATCTCCAGCCTCCTTTAGCACTACTATCCTTCCTTTTTTGTTCTTTGCCAATTTAAAAGCAATAAATTGTTGGTTTTTGTTTGTTTTTTTGAGATGGAGTCTCACTCTGTTGCTCAGGCTGGAGTGCAATGGCATAATCTTGGCTCACTGCAACCCCCGCCTCCCAGGTTCAAGCAGTTCTCCTGCCTAAGCCTCCCGAGTAGCTGGGACTACAGGCGTGAGCCACCACACCCAGCTAATTTTTGTATTTTTAGTAGAGACGGGGTTTCATCATGTTGGCCAGGCTGATCTCGAACTCCTGACATCAAGTGATTTGCCCGCCTTGGTCTCCCAAATTGTTGGGATTACAGGCATGAGCCACTGTGCCCTGCCAAATTGTTTTAATTTGTATTGCTTCAGTTACATTATTTAATGTAATTTAATGTTAAAAATGTTACAGTGCTAAAGGAGGCTGGAGATACACTCTTATATCTGCCATTAGAAGGATACACTGGCACATCCTTTCCAAACAAGTGGGGCAGCATTTGTTCAACATTTTTAACATTAAATTACATTATTTAATGTTAACATTTTTAAACATTTATTTTCATGTTAATCACTTCCTTTGAATTTCACCTTTCTTTTACATTAGTCACATATAAAGCAGTCAGCTAAGTTATATGCACTTTCTGCTGCAAATTGGATGATAAATGGATGGGCAGAAGGTGGAACCAGCAGAGGGAACAGGGGTGTTTACAGTTCTGCAGAATGGTCATGTTGTTTCCTTATCTTTCACCAAACATTACAAAAAGAATACATGCTCATTTTAAGAAAAAAAATCAAATATTTCAAAAGGGTGTATGAATATGATGAAAGCTCACCTCAACACTCTCCTTCCCTCACTTACCAGTTCCTATTCCCCAGTGTCACCATCTTCAGCCTCTTCTTCCTACATCCTTATTGTCTTCACAGGACTTGCTTCACTGGCCATGGATTTGGAGGAGCAATCAGGAGAAAAGGTTAGGGATCTGAAAAGGAATAGCTTCTTCATACAAAGCTCCCAGGGCTTGCTGCAGAGTGGTCATTGGGAAGGGAAGCAGAAGACAGAAACCACACCAGGTGTTTGTCTGGAATCAAATGGGCAGGTGAACAGAGAGTCAGCTAAGATAACCCTGTCTGCCTCAATTACAGTCCACATGAAAAATGGCAGGCCGTTTGTTGCAGCACATGAGCAGTGTCCTTTGTTAAGTCCTGTCCCTTGAGTATAACCTGTTTCCTTTACAAAAAAGTGGAAAAGAAAACCTAATAAAAGTTTTGCTTTTGCTTTTCCAGCACAAACCCTTCTCCTCACTTGGCAGGTCCTTGTGGAGCCCTATACCCACCTTTATCCATCTTGCTTCCAGACAGTGGTTTGAAATAACATCCATTGCCTGCAGAGTCATGCCCAATTCTGACTAAAGGAATGTCATCAATGTCATGCTTAAAGCAGATGCCAAGACTTGAGTAGAATTTGTGGTGTGTGAAAGGGGATCTACTCCTTGTTATCAGGAAATCTTTTGGAGTAAAAATGATCTAATTGTTCAAATTCTTAGTGTTAAGAAAATGGCTGTTATGAAGGAGAGAGCCCATCACCAAACTGATCTAAAGCCTTTGGGAAAAAAAAAATTATTTTTACTCTTCTCTTTGAGAGATACATATGGAATGAGACAGGTCATTTTAGAACCAGTGGGTCACCAGCCTCCTATTAACTAAAAGAAAGACATGAGGTGGAGATATTCCTCATTTTCTTGAGAAATTCTGCCTTTTATTCTTTTCAGCTTTAAAAACTGATCACCTATCCTGCTCCTTCTTGCATCATTTTCCACAAGAAATCCTTTTTTAATATGCAAACTGTTCAAAAAACAAAATTGTATGTGAGAAAGCTTTGTCTTAGACCTAGTCCAAAGGGGCTTCATCAAGCAGTGTCCATTCCAAAAGACCAAGCTTCATTTTCTGGACCCAGAGGAGGACAGACTTATACGGCAAGGCTCTAGGTGATGGTGGAAATAATGGGATATGTATGGGGGAAGGAGAGGGCTGTGGTATTAGTTCTCTAACCCCATGTAACAAATTACCCCAAAACTTATCACCTTAAAATAACAAAAAAATTCTTATTTGACACAGTTTCTGAGGGTCAAGTACCCAGGGGCAGTTTATCTGAGTGGTTTCTGGCTCAAGGTGTCTCATGAGGTTGTAGTCATCTCAAGGCTTGGCTGGAGCTGAAGGATCTGCTTCCTTGTGGTTTTTGGCAGGAGGTCAGGGGCCTCCATAACCTCACCATAGGGTCCCACCATAAACTTTCTCAGTATCCTCCCTACATAGCTTCTCCCAAAGTAAGTGATCCAACAGAACAAGTACCAAGACAAAACCAGTCTTTTTATAACCTGTTTTTAGAAGTGACTTCCCATTACTTCTGCAGTATTCTGTTCATAAGAAGCAAATCTAGCCCACACTTGAGAGGAAAATTAAGCTCTACCTTTTGAAGGGAGGAGTATAAAATAATTTGTGGACACATTTTTAAACAACTACATAGGCCAGGCGCGGTGGCTTATGCCTGTAATCCCAGCACTTTGGGAGGCCAAGGCAGGCAGATCAGGAGGTCAGGAGTTCAAGACCAGCCTGGCCAACATGGTGAAACTCTGTCTCTATTAAAAATACAAAAAATTAGCCCGGCATAGTGGCAGGCGTCTGTAATCCCAGCTACTTGGGAGGCTGAGGCAGGAGAATGGCGTGAACCCAGGAGGCGGAGGTTGCAGTGAGCTGAGACTGTACCACTGCACTCCAGCCTGGGCAACAGAGTGAGACTCTGACTAAAACAAAACAAAAAAACAAAGCAAAACAAAAAAACCCCAACTACATATATGATACAAGTTACCTACACCTAGTCTCCAGTCTGCTCTTTGGTGTATAGCAGAGGTCAGCAAAGAACCAGAGTAAATATTTGAGGCATCGTGGGCCAGACTCTGTTGCAACTATTGAACAGTGCCATTGTACTGCAAAATAGCTATAGGCAATCAGTAAATAAATGAGTGTGGCTTTGTTCAGGAACACTTTACACAAACAGGCAGCAGGCTGGATTTGGCCCAGGAGCAGTAGTTTGGCCCTGGAAGTCTAGCATACACAGTGACTTTGGTTCCTTGCTATTACAGTCTTGACAGAAATTCATCTAAGATGTCATGGCTCTCTGATCTCCCACCATCATATGTCAGTCACTGCACCTCAAAATTTAATGGTGAGATAATAGGAAGACAGAAAAACAAATCTGAGAGATTTAGGTGGAGAAAACCTCAGGACACAGACAGTCCTCATCTTTGGAAATAAGAATGTAAAGGAGAGCTGGCTTGGTCCAACAGGGGGTAAGACAGTGTGTATTCCACTGAATCACTAAGGTTGAGATAAGGAAAGAAGTCTGAGAGGAGATGTTCTCTAAACAATTGGAACTACAGCAGTGGGATTTTGAATCAACGTGTGAATTAGGGGATCCATCTTAATAAGGCTCCTACAGCTCCAAAGAACCATGAGTTCACCAAGAGTGAGTGTACAGGAGGAAATCAAGACTTGTGCCTATCAGAGAGCAGGGTAGACGTCAGAAGCTTCCCAGAGAGACGTAGGGAATATATAGGGGACGATGAAACTTCAGAGCTAGATGTGACCTTACACTGTGGGATGGGGGATGAGGGATGGGAGTAACCCCTCAGTTTGCAATATTCATAAATAAACTTAGCATAGGGTTACAACATGCAAGTTCTTAGGCCTAATATTCCATTCCTTGTTCCTGAGGTCTGATTTTGCAAATACTGTATTAACTTCTCAGGGCTGTTTATATTACTTATTATATGATTGAGTCAAGAAGAGACAGGGCTGGGAATCCCACTTTCCTTCACATGAATTCACTTGCAATGGAAATTTAAAATTGTATAAGGTAGATAATTTCCTGCCTAAATAACATATACATAGCTGATACATCCCACCATTTAAAAAGTTATGTTTTATTTTTCTCAGCCAAAACCACAGCTACTGGTCACTTTTAAGTTCAATTTAAAGATCAAATCTTATCTCTTTGAGATGTGCTTTGGAAGTGAATAACACTCTGCTGATAAATTATTTCTCAGAGTGGTTTGTTCTTGCTTTCACGCTACCATATGGCCTACCAGACCATATCCATGTCTGGATAACTGGGTATAATGTCAACACTCTTTTGTTTTGTAAAGCTTTTCTCCATCTTATTCTGAATCTAAACAAAAAAGTAAAAAATTAAATTTTATTACTGCAGCTTTGCTTGCAAGAAATAGGCAACTTCCTTTGAAATGATTTCATTGAATTTAAACTCATTTATATAAATTCTGAGGTATAAAGTGATGTGAGAACAATGTTTTCTCTATTTAATGTGATCATACCTGGGAACAGTACCAAGACTTGGAACTTAAGACCTCTAGCTTCTCATCTTGTGATGGAGAGTGTGTAAGTTAAATGCCAAGAGGAAGTCAGGTTGTAGAAATCTGATCCAGTTAGACACCCCACACCTCCAGAGATGCAGGTCAGGAACTCAATGAGTATGAAAACTGCCATTACCCCAGCCAAATTTATCTCTGTCGGGTAATGAGCTAACAACCCCATTCTTTCCAAAAACATGTGTGAACTATTCCAGTTTTACTAATAACTTTATTTAAATAAGACACAGGAACTTCTATACTGAAAAAATACAAAACAAAAGCCACACATTTCCTTGTGTAAAGCCATATTGTATGGTAACTCAAATACTGTTCAGCGCAATGGCTAGAATTAAACAGTACAATTATATACAAAATTTAAACAATTCCTGACAAATTTCTACAGCTGGATGTAGGATACATTTGAGCTCAACAACTTCTGGGAAATTTACATGGCAAAGCATAAGCTTTAACACATTTGGTTCAAAACTTTAATATATGCTAAGAACAAATGTACAACACAATTAATATTTAGTATCTCATGAGAAAATAAAAGCACATCACTATAAATATCGTACATCAGATTTAATCACCAAGAAAGCATATTCAGTCCATTTTTCTGAAATTGATATTGATACTATTGCATTTTATTTGGACAAAAGCAGAGTGTAAGATCAACATATTATGTAATGCTAAACCAGATATCAGAAGTTAAATGGAGCTCATATTTATCTTACAGAACTAGTAATTGTCTCCCTTTAACCATAATCTACAAAATAGAGTATTTTCATCAAGGCCTGAGATTATTAGGGTTAAAGGTATCTGCTGCTGAAAAGTTTTAAAAGGTTCCCCTGTGAAAATGACAAAAGTAAACTGAGTCCTTTTTTCCATGACAGTCTCCTACAATATAACACTGACTAATTTAAAGGAGCCAGAATGCACCTTCAGGAGAAAATATTACGGCAAACTTTGGTGGAAAGAAGAGAATTGAGATCATGACAAAATAATACACAGAATATACACGCACACACACAAACATATACATATATATATCATTTCTTTAAAAAAAAAAACAATGGTGTTGCTTTCTATAGACTCATCCTTCTTCAACCATCTTAGAAAATAAGCAAAGAAAAACCCAGGAATGAATGAAGGGAACTGAAACGTTCCTTTAACTGTAGGCACATTGTTCCCCTAATTCTTAAGAAAATTGTGCCATACACTTTAGGTGCAGATGAAACAACTCTAGGTTTTATTGAATTGAAAGTAGTGGAATACAAATACAAAAATTTCGCTTTTGGATATTCTTTGTACTGAAGAAAACAATGAAAGTTAGGCTTTCCCACTGACCAATCAGGAATGCCTAGGGCTCTCTTCATACTTTGTGGAGAACTTGCGTCAAAAGTTTGCAAGTTAAAGGCTATTTTCTTGAGTTTATGCTCTACTTCACATGTCGCAAATTTCAAAACCATTCATGATTATGTATTATGAGAGGCCTAAATGAAATAGCTTCAAACTATTGCTCTTGTAAGTCACCAAAAAACCTGCTTATTTATGTTGCAACAATTCTGAGACCCAAGTATTCTATGTAAATGAAGATCATGCACCTAAACTGCTTGAGGAAAACAATAACCAAAAGTATGTCACTTTTTCACCTGCAAAATAATTTCCAAGGGAGAAACTAAACATAAATATGTCTTTAGATAAAATGGTAACAGTTATGACCCTGATGGCTAACATAAACAAAAAAAATCTCAACCATTCAAACACTTCACTTATTTTGAAATTAACTCTAGACATTCCTGTCTTTAAATTTCATCACAATGTGGAATGTTTATGTACAGTCTAGTACTGAACATTTTATTTGCAACATTGTAACAGTCCTTTACTGAGCAACACCTGAACTTTTAAAAAAGCCACATGTACACATGTTGAAACAGTGAATGCAACAGTTGTTTTACTTGTAACCACATGACATAAGTGATGTCAAACACCACAGATTTTGCTGGTTCTCCTCATGTTCACCCATGTCCAGGATTATCAATCTCCTAGGATTGAATGCACTTCTTATTCTAAGAATGTGGAATGTAATGAGGAAAGGGAAATGCATAAAATAAAGGCAAAAGAGTGATGTTCCCTCTTTAGCTTTTTAGCTGTGAAATATTTAATATCCCAATATGATATACATTCCAAGTTACCTGAGTTTAGACTTCAACTGAAGTACCTGAAGCTAGGCCATAGGGTGGGCACTGTGCAACTGTTGTGGCCATTTTTTTGTTTGTTTGTTTTTTTGCATTGTATGTATTACAGAAGTTAGAAACAAACACCTGGATCAATTGTAAACATAATCCTGAAGTACAGTATTTTCCATAGGACAAAACACAGCAAGACATTTTCTATTTAGACAGGCAACTTTTTGATATAGAGCTTATTTATACTGAAGAATCTGGAACAAAACACAGGACACAGTACTAATCTGTCAAACATACTATGAAATGCATAGTCTCCACTTAAAATGCTGAATGACACACACATTTTGCAAGCATTACTGCTTTCCACAAAAACTGCTGAATAGGAGTTCCGTCCCTGCCAAGATCAGTGTTTAAGAGATACTTTATGATGCTGATAAGTATTGGTGGTGGTGGTGGTGTTCAGAAAGTTTGTCACTCCATGCAGATAGATGTCTGAAATCTTGCTCCTAATCCATGGAACATAGGGTGGAGGCCAGCTCCCCCTTTTTTAGATGATCACATAGTTCTGAGCAGAGATGTGGTCCTCACCCTGCAGTTCCTGCAGAAGCTGCTGCTGCTGGGATGGCTGCTGGGCAGAGGCCTCCATGGAGCCCGCTGTGCTGGTGTCATCGGAAAGAGACGTAAATGAAACCCGGGACGAGAGCTGCTCAACGGTCAGAGCTGCCAGAGCTGAGCTCTGGCCAGAGTTAGGAGAGTTCTTGAGCATAAGGTCAGAAGCAGGTAAGAGGGGGCCTAGAAGTTTTACAGGACAGAAAGCTGATCCGGTTGGGATGAAATTAACCTTGTTTTTGTCAGGACATGAAAAGAGAGGGGCCGAGATAGGCTGACGAGACCTAAAACCATAAAACAAAATTAGATTTATAATCATGAACACAGAACAAGTTAAGCATTTTCTGAATTAACTGGAGTTCTCTAAAACAGCTAAAATGTAAATGGCAGGAGATGGGTTAAGTGTATACAGAGGGATAAACATCTTCCATAGCACAAGTCAGTTGGCAGACTATTCATGCACACAGCATGGAAGTGGTATTTGAGACAAAAGGATTTTCAAAAGAACCAGGAAGACAAATAGAGATCATTAGTTTGTTTTTAATCATTTAGGAAGGTAGAAAAAGTCTGCTATATTATAACTGAAGATTATGTAAAGGTAGAATGACCTTTTCTGTTAAGAAAAAGTACACCAGAGGAAGGGGGCATTAGTCCATCATGTATTTAGTTTTAAACACTTCCTCCTTTTTTCTTTCTAGATAGACCTCCACTAGCACAGATGGGGGGTGGAGTGGGGAGGGGAGAGTTTCAGTGGTCTCTCAAAAAGCCAGTCAGTTCAACAGAGGTTGGGTCCACAAGCCCTTCCTCTCCTCCTGTTCCCAGGAGCTAAGTCATCAGCTCCCGCAAGATGGGTCCTTCCAGATTGCAAGAGCACTGCACCCTCCACTAGGCACCTGCACTGGAACAAAGGCATGAGTGCATCCAAGAACCACACAGTCTTCTGAGCTACTCTGCCCAGTGTTTACAGCATGAACCTCTTTTTCTAATTTCATTTCTAACTTACACATATTAAAATTTCATTAAGAAAACCCCTTGTGAACAGAAAGTCTGAATAAGCAAGCTAGATGCGGCTATAGGGCAGCTATAGGGAAGGAGACTAATCTCCTTCCGGCTTGTGGAGTACACTGTCTTTAAGCTAGTCACACATAGATATTAACTTTGCTCCTAAAGTCTCTTTGTTAGCCATCTAAATTAAGAGTTCTCGAAATGACAATTCTTAATGATTAAAAATAGATCTTTCAGGTAGTAAGAATAAGTTTCCAAGTTTCTTTGTATTGGCTTATACATTTCCAGCATACAGACTCCAATTCTCCTTCAGTAAGATCTCTCTTGCCTATTCAATTCTCTTTATATAATTTGCTTTTGAAACACATTATCAGCTGGATAGAGTAGTTGATTCATATGTAATCAACTGGTCTCAGTAAAAAGCTTTACAGCTTTGCAGATCCCAGCTGACAGAAAAGACATTACTTACGCCATTTCCTCAAAGACCTTCACTCGCTCACATCCCTCTGGGGGCTCCCGTTTGAACATGTAGCTGTTGTTTGGTTTGGGAGATGAAGCATACTTGGGTAACGGTGAGCTACTCCCACTGTCTGTAAATTTAAAGCAGTTATATTAACTAGTGATTGAAAGCTCTTTTAAATTAAATTTGATTTCCAAACAAACAGCCTTTTGCACGATTTATCCACTACTGCCCCTATGCTTTGACCACAGTCTCCTTTATTGCAAAGCTATTTCTTATACCCTGTGTAGTACATTTCTTCTAAATAAAAACTTCAATGCAACAGTAATCTGCCATACCACAGAACATAAAAAGGAGGACATTTTGGTCCAGAAAACTGCACTTTGAATACAACAGAGCTGTAATCCTGAAAACAAATATGTTATTTATTATGTATTTCAAGAATGCAACTGACGGGGCAATGTGCTTAAGTCATACAGAAGAATAAAACAGATTATAATGATACAGGGTTCTCTACATGCCTTCTCACTGCCCAACCAATTTAACAAAAATGAGTAATATTCATTACAAAAGTTCTTAGCAGAAAAGTTATTTTTGCTAAATATCATGAATAACACGTACGCAGGGGAAAAAACAAGCTTATAAAATGTCTCTTTCTACCTACCCAGGATAAAAAACATAATTTGCTCAGAATTTTACCTTTAAAATGTTTATAATAAAAGGGCTTTTTCAGCAGAATTTATATTTTTGCTACTAGAAGACATGAGAAATCTCCAAACATCTCTACTTAACACGTTTTCCTCATATTTTTGGCCAAAAAGAAAATGGTCTATTCATGAAAAGCCATAAAACCCATATGCAATTTCTCCCTTTCCTACCTGGCAAGAGATTTTGGAAATTCAAATCCACTAAAATGTGTCATTATTTTTGTAAGATGCCAAGCTGTAAAGTCAGTAACATGTTTGTATACAATAGTCCTATTTAAACAAATTCTGACTTAATGCAAACCAATCCCCACTGCTAAAATACTAAGCACATGATCTATTGAAATGTATTATTTTCATCTATTTCAAAGACAGCACCAGTATCATAATTATGTTCGTCACAATTTTGGTAAGTTGCTTTAGTGTAGAATACACGACACAGTCCAATATTCAGAAACTGAGTAATAAGATTGTTTTATCATCATTAATGAAGTTATAATACACACTTAGGAAGAAGGCCCTTGATGCACACTAATACTTGTTAGTCTTGTGAATGCAGATTTATGCTTATATTTCTGGCTGGGAAACCACTGTCTGCAAAATAATAAGGTTACACTATTGGGAAAGCTAGAAAACCACACAGTTTCTCTATCATTATTATGCATGATCCTACAGAGTAGGCACCAAACAGCCTCTTGGAAAAAATTAAGTCTCAAGAATGAAATTTGGTTTCTTCATATATTCAGATTTGAGAATTTCCTTAAGTTTAATATTTATCCTATATCTTGCATGAACAAATGGGAGGGAGGAGGAGGAGGAATAGGATAGTCTCTCTTAGCCTGATACAAAGCATAACTAGCCTGATTGGAGGTCTGAATTTGCTGCTCTATTTAAGCTAGGATAGTCTCTCTTAGCCTGATACAAAGCATAACTAGCCTGATTGGAGGTCTGAATTTGCTGCTCTATTTAAGCTAGGCTAGACAAGACTGGTCCATGATTAAAAAATAAAAATAAAAAATACCTCAAATTTGGTGTAATATAAAAAATATGGCTTGACCTTACCTTACTATGCAAACAGCAACAAACCAGGCAAAGGAAATATATGAGATCAAAAAATACAAGTTAAGTAGGATACCCCATACGTTGTGCGTATTTCACACTACATACGTGTATCAAAACATCTCATGTACCCCATAAATATATACACCTACCATGTATCCACAGAAATTTAAAAAAATTAAAAAAATACAAGTAGATATGGCATGAGAAGCCTCCATGGAGATTACCGCTGGACATAACTTAGCCTACAGGGCACAAGCACCATCAGCCTCAAACCATGGGCTTGATGCCATCAGCAGTCATGTCAGCAGTTAAGGATCCACCCTGTTATCATGTAAGGAAAGTCATCTCGGCCACAATTAGTCTTCTGTGTTCTTTTTCTTACTACACCATCAGACCTATCACTTTCTTTCTCTCACTATTTTACTGATGGTTTCAAAGGACTTTCTCATAACTGAAGGCTAGATGTGAGTTGGATAATCTATCTGCAAAACTGATTATCTTCCTGTTAAATCTAGAATGAAGTAATTTTCTTTTTAAAATATTTCTAATTTCAGAGGCTGTAAGTGAATATTTTAACAGAGTTTTACTCTCTTAAACAAATTCTGCTTTTTATATACTGCTATCCTAGACAGACAGTACTCAGTGTTATTATATCTTTCTGCCTTTTCAATAAAAATTATTTTTTTAAATTATGTATTTAATATTAGGTGGTCTGGAAAGGCAAAGCTTGAAAGAAAAAAATTTTGAGACTATAAACAAATATTTGCTAAATCTGGAGTTTTTCCTTCAGGTTAAGTATGCAATTGGAGAGACTGTACAGAGGGGTCAGGGAATGCAGACATCTAGTCTGGGGCTTTAGCTCTTGTATAGTTCTATGTTACCTGGAATACAATCACCTCTCTGGATTTCTATATAATTAAAGGAACTGCCATTCATGAACTCTAAAATTCTGTGATTTTTCTTTAATAGTTCTAACATACAAAGATGACATATTTTACATATATATTTTTTCTTGCCTTACAAAGTGGCATGCTTTAAAAACAACCCATATGACCAACCTATGCTACTCATTCCAGACTTGAATGTATAAAATATTACTATTCATTTAAACCTCTGTGTTGAATTTAATAGCCACATTTCAATAACAGAACATTATAAGTATAAATATGCCTGCTCACGAGATTCGAGATGAGAAGTCTCATGGTAATCTTAATTCGGTCTCTTTTGTTTACCAGTAATGGTAAGTTTTCTCATTCTGGTATCTCAGAGAATAATATAGGATCATAACTAGAAATACAATTGAGATTAGATTAAATGTTACTTTATTACTTTTAACATCATAGCCAATGTCAATAAAATTAAATGCAGTGAATATATTTACATATTTCTATATTCACGTCTCATTTTTATATATAACAATCACTCAACTCTGAAAATCAAGAATATGGAAAAATGTGATTGCTGTTTTATAACAGATCATACATATGCATTTGCACCACATTTACCATTAAAATACAAGTAGCTTATCAAATACTTTTAAACATATGATAATGAATTAAAGCTTAGAAAAATTAGAGAAGTTATTAAAGTTTGGAATTTCATATAGAAACAATATTCATTAAACTACATGTACTTGTATAGCTTGAGTTTTCTGAATTTCTTCTGACTTTTATTATATCTGGTATATTGTGGGGCCCACAATTCTTGTACACAAAATTATACATTTGGTCATACCACTGCACTTCAGCCTGGGTGACAGTGAGACCCCATCTCAAAAAAATATATATCACATATATAAAGGTTGATTCATTTATGCAGGTAGTATGTAAAATCTCTGCCATGGTTCTATTCTAGCCCTAAGTCTATAGATGTGCATTATCTCTATCACACTACTTTATCAAATTAAGTAAAATAAATTCTAAAACAAGCAATAATAGAATAGTGGTTCTAACCAGAGTTTCTTTCACATTAGACTTACCAGTTGTTTTAAAAAGATCAATGTCTAGATCTCATTCCTGAAAGATTCTGATTTAATTAGTCTGGGGAGGAGCCAAGCATTGCCTTGGGGTGGGGAGGTGGGGGTAAAGCTCCTAAGTGCACCTGAAGCACAGCCATATCTGAGAACCAATCACGAAATGGTTAAGAACATTAGTTTGGAGTGAGGCCACCTGACTTCTTCCTAGGCCTAGGTGCATGGCATAGGGTAAGTCTGATCCCTCTGTTTTTTGATCTATAAAATAGAAAATACCACTGACATGACAGCTGTGAAAATTGTATGTAAAAGGATTAGGAAAAGGGCTGGGTGAGGTGGCTCATGCCTGTCACCTCAACATTTTAGGGAGGCTGAGGCGGGAGGATCACTTGAGGCCAGGAGTTTGAGACCACCTGGTCAACATGGTGAAACCCTCTCTACAAAAAAAAAAAAAAAACAAAACCCAAAACCAAAAGACAAAAAAAGGATTAGGATAGTGCCTGAAACACAGTAAGCTCTGAATATTATTATTATAATAGTAAAAAGTAACACATCATTTCTAATCTGAAAATTAAAAATGAACCATTTGAAAATTAAGTGCCTATTCTGCTCCCTCTTGACAGAGGAGAGTAAAGGAAATGTTTGTAATATATTTGTGTACTCTACTCAGGTACAAACAGATAAAATTTTGTTTCTGAGAGAGAAGCAGAATAATATCTGGAGTACCAGGTTGTTCAGGTTTATAACTGCCTAGCATGAACTCTGCCAGTTCAAGATGGCATACTTTAGTGTAAAGAGATCTATCATTCTGAAATTAAAATCAATGCTTAAAGCATGCAGATTCTATAGACTACTATGCAAAGAAAATACTTTTATAGTATATGCAGCAATAATCAGTAGAATGTAATTCTTATTCTATCTTTCCCAGGTAATTAACTGACTAGGAAAGTGAGTACACTGTTCAACCAACACTTTACTCAATGACATACTAAAGCATAAAATTAGCCAAGAGTTAAATTAGAAATATGATTGACTAAATAGTACTTAAACAAAATTACTACTCTAGTGTTAAAATACACTTATTCTGCTTTAGGAAATGAAATTACCAACTATAATGGGATTTGAAGGAGAAATCAGGAGAAACACAGAATTGTATATCATTTCTTGGCAATAAACTTTAAGAATCAGGTTGTATTACCAATTGTATTAAAAAGCCTGTATTTTCAGTTAACTCCAAGACCAACTTGGAAACTTACAAGTAAGGAGAACAGGATTTTACAAACAGCCTCTAAGGTTTTTCTAAAATTCCAAGTTAACACCTTGTGAGAATGCTAAAGAATTGTAATGAACAAAGACATCAGTTATACATAAGATCTCCTTTAGATCAGCATT